CCCCCCCCCCCCCCCCCCCCTATCTTCAAGAATGCCCCGAGATGTTATCTTTTCCCCCTACAACATCCGAATGCCCCCCGGCTCTCACATTTACACACCCGCCGAATCAACCACCCAACACCTTCCTTGTACACCTTCCTAGCATAACATACATAAAGATACACAAGGCGGCGCTAACGCTTTGGATCCATTAACAATCTATTTTCGGCTCATTCTTTGATGGAGATGGATTCGTCGAGTCATATCTACTGATAAAATAATACCAAAGAGATGACGACCATGTGCTGCCTTCTCGGGGTGTCCAAGAAGTTTCCCTTACGCAAAATAATTCGAGAAAATAATTCGAGTTTGTATATAACTAGAATATGAGTAGAATAAAGGGATCTTTGGCTCTGCGTGTAGGCGTATAGCGCATGCATGCATGCATGTGCGGATCGATGTTACCCCGAATTCCTGTCACGCGCGTCTGCTCGGAGTAGGTTCAGCCCTTCTGCAACCCTGCAACAATACACCGGTCGCCCCGGTGGTCTAGTGGGTAGCCTCGCAGCCTGCTAAGGGCCAGGTCATGGGTAGAGTCCCGGCAGGGAGAGTTTTGTTCTCACGAAATAAATCCTGGTCTAGGATGAAAGCGACGCGCTGCAAAGCTCGTTTGTTAGTAAACCATAATCGACTTCGTAAGTCGCGAGGGAAGGGATTGCTGTACCCTTCTCGCGATAAAAATACCTCAGGCAGGAACCGCAGGAGGGGGTCCAACCCCCCCCTCCTATGTGACCCCGGTTGGGTCGTCTAGCCAGTAGAAGTGGAGGATAGGGGCCAGAGGGGCAGACGGCAGCGTCCAATGATGGGAGAGAAACAAACAAAAACAAAACACAAAACATTTTTCCCATTTCGCGGCTGGCTCTGTCTTACAGATTCTACCGGCGCAACAACCGAACCATCAACACATCAATACTGCTGTTGTAAGGATTTCAAGCGCATCCCTCGTAAGTCATCCGTGCCTCGGCTGGGCGGTCCCTCACCATTTACCATGCCCTCAACAAGTACTAAACCAGGCGCGTGGAAGCAAGCAGGGTGATTGGTACATACAGATTGATCACGCCGAGGGCCCGTTATGTAAAGACGGTCAGGGAAAAACGCGCGGCGTGTGCGCTGTTCGACACACTTTGTTGGAATTCAGCAGCGATACAAATGATCGATGCGCACATGTTGACAACTACGCACGTGTTGTGAGCTCAGCTGTTTTGTGGCACGTTGCGGACCCCGGGTCGGCGTTGCTTCCAGTTTCTTTTTATTTTGCACCGGCAGTTTTTGGGGGACGAAAAGGGCTGAATGTCTTGCGTGTACAACATACCGGGTGCTCTCCCATGGCTGTGCGCGTCTGTGAGGAAGGGAGGAAGGCAGTGCCGGGGCAATTGTCGTCATGACAAAAAAAAGTAAGGCAAACACGGTGGGAGGAGGCGGAGACAACGACGACAACAAACGAAGAAAATCCGGCCTGACGTAGTGCGGTACCTCGTCTTCTGCTGTGTGTGACCACGGGCTGGCAAACACACAAACGAAACGAGGTGTAGACTGGCTCCCAGATTTTTGGAAGATGACGGATAGAAATCACGCACACACACACGCCCGATGTTGAAACGAGGACTTGGTAAGTTTAAGTTCTCCCTGTATGATATTGTGGGTTACGGCCGAAAGGGTGGTGCACGCGATCCCCAGATCTAGCAGCCGCAGCCGCAGCAGTAGCAGCAGCAGCAGCAACAACAACGCAAACTAAAGCCTTGTGGTGCTTCAGAGGCTCTCCATCGTCGCGGTGAGCAACTGCGAGAGGAAGCTGTCGGCTCGTTCCTTCTTCCAAGGAAACAGGAAAATATGACAAGTGAGGTGTTGCAATTCCGAGAAATCAAACCGAAAAAGCCTGGCAGTATTTTTCTCTTTTCTACTACTGCTGTGCCTGCTGTGCTGCCATGCGTGTCGGCGAAACTCGGAGAGCGCGGCCGACGCCAACGCCTCGCCCGTACCTCGACCCTGACGGGTTGCACCAAGGGTGCGTGCGAGGTGCTGAATTGACCACCCAAGGGCGTGGGTCATGGCTCGTTTGTCAGGCAAACGGGGTGTTCCCGCGTAGCCACAAAACGTGGGGCTTTTGGGAATCGAACGTCGACAATCAGAAGGTCGTGTGGAAGAGGAGAGCGAGAGCTCTCGTAGGTGCTTTGGGATTTTTCCAAGCGGTGATGTCGACGGAAGCCTTCCGGTCAGCCGGTAGGTGAACCCACAGGCCGAAACGCCAGGACAACCTGTGTGCTTAGCTAGGAGGCAGAGCTTCTCCCCTACCCGTCTCTACCAAGAAGCGCACCTGCTTCTTGTCCATCAGCGACTTGATTTTGGCCCAGTGTTCGATTGCGTTGTCTTTATGGAGACGGGCCGTGGCATCGTCTCTGCTGCTGCTGCTTCTCCCCTCCACCATAGCTCCCGCCGCTGGGGCTGTCATGGCCGTAGCCATGGTTTGCTCGGCTGTCGGTCAGTGCACACCCCGAAAACCGCGTGGTCTCCTCTCCGCCCTCTTTCCCCACCCCGCTGTGCTCTAAAAACCGCAGTCCCCGGCTCTCCCTCAACGACAAAACACGCACGTGCTTTTGAAGGCGAAGTGGCAGATACAAAGCAAGATAGTGACCAACAGAGAGAGAGAGTGAGCTATGGCTCGTCCGCCTATGAAACTGGTGATTGGGCTGTCGTTTGGCTGGCGTGTGCTCTATGGATTGTTTGTATATGCTCTGATGCGCTCCGGTTGACACGAGTTTTCAACAGTTGCGCCGCAATTATGCGAGAGAGAGAGAGAGAGAGCGGGTGCCGCGTGAAACGGTTCGTATCTGCTGGCCCAACTGCTGCCGCATTCATTTATCACGCTCTGGGTCAGACCTCGAAAAGGCAGACCGACTGCCCCTATCCTATGACTCTCTCTCTCGCGAGTGTGACGGACAGCTCAACGAAATGAGATGCGTTCCGTATGCTGCAGTACTGCTGTAGTGATGAACCAAGTGTGTGTGCTCGCTCACAAGTACCTGAATCTAATCTACAACGCATGTATGTACGTGCTGTTGCTCCGACGGCTGGCTGACGGATGAGATGCGAGTTAGTAGTTAGTAGTATGAGCTGGGGTGCGGATGAAGGTTCACAACACCAAATCAAGCTATCCCAATAAAACTTCTAGCAGATCGTGTTCCACGCTTGTACGGCGATACCGTATGGGCCCGCAGATAAGAAACGTCGAAATCGGGTCGAGCCTCACTCCCTTATTTTGGGTCCAAGGACAAGCCGAAGTCGTCCATCTTCTTAATAAAACGAACTTCATATTCAGACCTTTTGGACTGCTGTCGCACATCCTCCTGGTCCTCTATTTTCTGGTACTTCCTCGTACGTTCATTTTCATGTTTTAAACTATTTGGCTAAAATAGTCTGCATTGATTGTACGATCAACATAATAAACCATGCGCCGCGTTAGTTACCAGAAGAAAGTTATGTGTGGCGGAAATACCCAGGGATGTTCACGGTGTGGAACCGCACCGCGGTGCGGTTTTTTGTATCTTGACATACATGGTCACGGTGCGGTGCGGTGCGGTTGTTACCATCATCATCTCCAAATTCGACGGTGCGGTGCGGTGCGGTTCACCGTCGCACGGCGTTTTTGACGGTGCGTTGATTTTTACCCAGTGACAAAAACCGCGCGAACCGCGGCCTTGGCGGCGGTGCACCGTCGAAGAACAACGCGGAGAATACTAAATACGGTTGTCCGTGACAAAATGATGGGGTCTCCATGTTTTTTTTTTTCGTGGAATACGTGAGGTTTATTATTATTATTGACTAGTCTATTGAAATGCGGCCGACACGACAAAATCCCGCGGCTTGCGGCCAGAAAAAAAAGCGGAACCCCCCGCCAAAGGAGAAGCTAGCTACTACTGATTATTTCCTTCATTTTCCCAGTCACCATATTATACGTTCCTACAAACGAGCTACAGTCCTCACTTGCTTCTACTACTACTGTTGTTGGAATATATATGCGAATAATATGCAAATATGATAGAAAAAATGAAAAAATCTGGCAGCACCACCACCAGGCAGGCGGCTCATGCCCGCCTCGGGCTACAACCCGCGAATGCGTCGACGGCGGTGCGTTGCACGCTGCGAACTGTCTTCGGGGTACCCCCAGTTTGCGCGGCATCAGCACCAGCAGAGCAGTGGTAGAACCACCGGGGGAAGGAGATGGACACGTGGCGACCACCTCTGCACGAGGCTGGTCGCCATCGTCGAACGGTGACTCCATCAGAGATGGGCGGAGTTGTGCACGGAGCGTATCGCAGTGGCGGTATGTGTGTGTGGTGCGGGGAATATGGTGTTGCGTGTGTGCTGGTTCAAAAAAAGAAAATCAGTGTTGTAAATGTTCCTGGTGTGTGTGTCTGGACGACAAAAACAACGTGCCTTACCTGTGGTTTTTACCGCGGTGAACTGCGGTTTTGGCTACGGGGTGGGGCAAACCGCACCGTATTAAAACCGCAACTACGGTTATTTGTTAATCCTTCCGGTGCGGTGCAGTGCGTTTTTTTCATCTCGAAATAAATGTCACGGTGCGGTGTGGCACCACACCGCACCGTCGAGAAAAACCGCACCGTGAACATCCCTGCAAATACCCACTCTCCCAAAATTTCCCCCCTACAAAAATAACGTTGTTCAGCAAGGTAGGGGGCTGGGAGCACGGAGGGAGCAGCAGTGGGACGTTTCTTATTGGACAAGCTCCTCCAGCTACCCCTGGTGTCTTGTGTCTTGGGGGTATCGCACCGGCATGTTTCTTATTGGAACGTTTCTTATGTTGTGGCCGAGATTGAGCTGTGTTTCTTAGCCCTTTCTCTTGTTTTTCGCAATATGAGTCTGTTTTTCTTGACAGAATTTTCTTAACTGCGGGCCCGTACTACTGTAGACTATGTGTACGGACAAGAAAGTATCATCGGTGACGTCTGCTGGGCACCGAACACCCGAACTCGAACCCTACGGCGATCTTACCGAAGATCGCCGCTGGACGTGTGAGAACGGTGATCACCCGTGTGACAACGGCGATTGCCCGCGTGCACCACATGCTGCCGTTCTGCGCACAAATCAATCAAGCTTGTGGAAACGAAGAGCAGCACAATTGACAGACGAACACGCTTTCACAGGGTGACACATGCATAACGTACAACCCTACATGTAGATATGGGTACATCGTCCTTCCCCCACGAACCATCAGAACAGCCTTGTTTTATTCGCTCGGCCTATTGCCACTGTTCCGATACTTCCGCCGTTGTCGGTAGGATGGACTACTACGCGTTCGTTTCCAGCGGTAAAACCGGCACGATACTCTTCGGTGTTCCACCGCCATCAGCGCAAACACTATCTTCGCCGTCCCTGCCAGCACGGCGCAATCCCTGCGATACGAGGAACCCGTGTCTTTCTCTTTTCCGTTCTCGACGGCGGCCCGCGATTCGTGGTGGTTTTGCTCCTCTTTCCGCCCAAGCTCGGTGTCCTTCGTGTGTCCCATTCCTTTTCGTGGAGCGTCTCCCCTTTTGTAAAGCGAAGCTCGACCTATGGCCTCGGCGTGTGTCGTCTCGATCGCGATGTACGATGTGTGGCGCTGCATTCCGTGCCTCTCGCTGCCTTTCCGCTCCGCCCCGGGTGCCGTTTCACCATCCTCGAGATCTTCTTCGTCTACCAGCTTCTTATCGGTTGCGTTGACCATCGTAACAGAGAAAGCTGTATCCGGTTCTCCCTTGTCAGGGGTGGTGAACGTTGTTTCACGCTTTTCCTTCGACTCTGGCGCCTGCGTGCTTGTTTGCGCCGGCGAACCTCCGACCGAATGGTCGTTGTGAAACGCCGACTTAGGACTCGGTAGTCGTTGCGATTCTCCTCCTTCAGCTGTCGGCACGGTGGAAGCTACCGCTTTAACAGCAGAAGCTGTCTCTCTCCAAGGGCTCGTCGTTTGATCTCGGGCCTTCTCCTTGCATGTAAGTGAGACAGTGTTTTCTCGTCCTTCAGAGGAAAGCGGAGCAGGTGCTGTTTGTGCCCAATCACCGCCAGGTTGGTTTGCTGCAGGCCCGTGATCTCGATCTTGGACCTCGCTCGCCGTGCCCCTACTGAAACTACCACCAGCTTGTTGCCTCTCTCCTTTGTCGTTGCTGTCCTCGTGAATGGGCAAGAGAGGCGGTGAGTCTCGAGTCGCCGTGTAGATTAGCAACGGTTCCGGGGCAGCGTGGGGGAAAGCTTGGGGCGCCGTGCGGCCGTCAACCGACGTTCTGCTCTTTTTCGGTCCGACCCCGGAAAGCAATGGTGCAGGCGCGAGCGGCATCGGTGGCATCGGTGGGTAAAGAGGATGGCGGCTTTCCTTGGGCAGCGGTGGCATGTCGTGGAACCTAGCTTGCTCCGTATCTTCATCGCCCGTCCCTCGTTCAATGGTCTTCTTGGCTGGAGCTTGTTCTACGAGCCCATTTTCCTTGCCGGGGCTGCCGGCCCCATGACGAGGCGATGACGTCCGCGCCGCCGCGGCCGATTTCGGGAACTCTTTGGAATCTTCAGACGAAAGTCCTGTCTGAAGGTCGATCGAATCGTGAGACGAAGCTCGTGCTTCTTCTGGTGCGGTCTGAGCCGCACAATCGGATGTCTTGGTGGCCTCACGTCCGCGACTCTCCCCGGTACAACCCCGAGTCCTCCACCTGCGGCGATGCGACAACGTAACACAACGTCATCACCAGAACGTACGTACAAGGTGTACTACGCAGCCTAACGCATTTGGAATGAACGAAGACGTCACGTGGTTGGAAGGGAGGCGGCGGAGGTCCACACGCAAACCTCTATTTTGGATTTAAAGCTGCTCGACCGGCCGATCGTACCCGGCATGCTCTAATCACAGAGAATCACGTGTCGTGTCACACCTTAAGAATGCTAGCGCCACTTGCGGGGTGCCCTCTGAGAGTGCAGCAATCTGACATAGCCCGCCGCAGGTGTCATTGCACAGGTCAAACGGCTTGCTCCTTGCCAGTAAGAACGCGATCTTGAAGGCTGCGACCGTGCACTTTGCGCTGTATAGCTTCCGCTCAAGATGCTGAGAAATCAGACGGGCAGATAGCAGCAAGGAGTGGCAGCAACACGAGGTTGAGGCTGAGCCAGAAAGGCTGAGCCGGTGTTGAGTGTTCCTTTCTTGTACGTGATTTCCTTACTCTTATTGCGTATCATCACACGCGCTGTCACTTGCCCCGCCTTAAGGTTCCGAGCCTATGGAGCACAGTGGAAAGCTGACATAGGAAATTGTGAGGGACGAACAGGAGGGAGAGAGAACGAGACGAGGTTTTTCCGGGACACAAACGCGGCCGAACGATGAAAATTATCCTTTTTAGGACATCAATCCCAACGACAAATGGGTTTCATACCCCGGAACCTCCTGGTGGCCCCTTCACCGTGAGCTTGACATCAACAACCGCAAACAATGCTTGCGACATACGCATAGCGAGGAACAACAAACGCTCAACGACGGATCCTTGGAGGAACACTGCAGTGGGAAAAGGTTGGGATAGACAAAGGCAGATTCGCCTTTACCTCCGTCTGAGCTGGGTGGTTCACTTCTGTCACAAGAGTTGCTGTATCGGCCTGCCCCACTCCCTCTCGCTTGCTACCATCGACAGCGGCTTCTCCAGGTACTGTACTCGGTGACATCTGCTGTGNCCGTGAAGTGCGTGCGTGAGATTAGGGTTGACTCGTAAAATGGAAAGCGTGGGAACCTCTTGGCGACCTATCTCTACGATGTCTGTTGACCGTGACCTCCTCAACCAATTCAACTCGCATTTGCCCAACCTGGCAATCGTTTTCGTACAGGACGCGAGCAAACGTTCAAGCCGTCGCCACTTTTGACGTTGGGGGGTTTTCATTTGCTGCTGTTGCACACCTAGTGGAAGAGATTTCGTCAACACAGCTTGCCCTCCGTTGCCTTCCTCCGCGGCGCCCACTCCCTTGTGTCGAGGAGCTTCGAGGAAAGTCCGGTGGGTGGAACGCCGCGTCGGTCTCGGTAAACGTGTTCACGCTCACTCTACAGGCATCGCTTTCTCCACCTTGAGCCTACGCAAACATGGAGGTGCAGGACGGGCGGATTCAATCAAGCACATTTGGACATCGTCTCTTGTACGTGCTTCGCGTTGGAGAACGTGGTAGCCATTTGCGCGAACCCAGGAGGTCGCGCACAGTCAAATCTGCGCGGAATGGAAACTTAGAACAGAGAGAATGACGAGGTTCTTCCGGGACACAAACGCGGCCAAACGGTGAAAAAATCCTACTTAGGACATCAATCCCAACGACAAATGGGTCTCATACCCCGGAACCTCCTGGTGGTCCCTTCACCATGAGCTTGTGATGAACAACTGCAAGCACCGGCTTGCGACATACACATAGCGAGGAACAACCAACGCTCAACGACGGATCCTTGAAGGAACACTGCAGTGAGAGAAGGTGGGGATAGACAAAGGCAGATTCGCCTTTACCTCCGTCTGAGCTGCGTGGTTCACTTCTGTCACAAGAGTTGCTGTATCGGCCTGCTCCACTCCCTCCGGCTTGCTGTCGTCTGCTACTTCCGCACGAGCCGGTGATTCGGCCTGTCCCGCTCCCTCCCGCTTGCTACCGTCGACAGCGGCTTCTCCAGGTACTGTACTCGGTGACATCTGCTGTACCTCGATGGTAGGATCGAGGACGGGGTTCGGTTTGAGCGCGCGCGTCAAAGCTGATGGCAGCAGCACCGAGCCGCCGCCTTGTCCCAAGGACGGCCAAGATGAGCTCCGGCGTGCTACAGCGCTGTCCGTTTTCCATCCCCATGCCGCCGGATAGCCGTTGACCTTGCGCCCATATCCCACGGGTGGGCCATCCGGGACAGTACTCCGTATGGCTTGAGCTGGTAGCGCAACGCCGTCCTCAAGATAGGTCTCGACGTTGCCAATGTTGTCACAGCCTTCGCTGGTGCATCGTGAGCTCCTGCTTACCCCTGGCTGTTCACTGCAGGAGAGCATTCCTTCGGCCCTTCCGGCGCTCTCTCCTAAACCAGGGTTCTCGTGAACACCCACAGACGCCCCAGCGGCGGATGAAACTTCGTCCTCCTGTCGTTGAGACGCGCCCACATTGCTTTGATACCGGCGACCCCATGCTTGTTCCCCCTCGACACCCCCGCCAGCAACACTGCCATGAGATCTTCCATCCGACTCTGACCCCTCGCACGAGTAAACCTCTTCGCCGCAGTGTGCTTTGCATCTCGGTGAGTCCTCGCTGATCGTGCAGCGGCTGCTTTTCGGTTCCTCCCGCAGGCTTGTCGACCCAGCGTGACCCACCGGTAGCGAGCGAACGTCTGCGCCTGGTCCGCTTTCGCCGAACGATACCAAACCGTGAATGCCAGGACGGGTATGTTTGACCCGTTCGAGTGCTTCCCCATCTTGAACAATGTGAGTGCTCTCTGGCAGCGAAGCAGCCCTTGGAACCGGTGCGGAAGCTATGTCCACGCAGGCCTCGCCGATCAGGCACCCAGCTTCGGTTTGGGTTTGAGCGTGTGCTTCTGGTCGTACGCTGTCGCGTGCCTCTGTCTCTGTTCCTCCACATGGGTAGCATTTCTTCTGCGGAGTCTGCGGAGCTTGAGCTAGCGCCTTATCGCCCTCGACCGCTCCCGGTAGACAGTCTACCGTGCTTGGGCATGCTTTTGGAATCGATGAAGCAGGATGGTCTTCCCTGGTCGAACGAGACATTTCACGGTGGCGGAGCGAGAGGGGAGGTAACAACGGCTGGTGCCGCGTACGTATGGTGCGTTATGCCTTTCATGTCTCTTCTTGAGCCATTCAAGGAGATGCGCAGTAGTGCATTGTGTGGTGTGGGCGATCGTGCGTAAATTGAGGGAGGGAGTCATAGTCCTACTATCGTTACACCGTGAAGTGCGTGCGTGAGATTAGGGTTGACTCGTAAAATGGAAAGCGTGGGAACCTCTTGGCGACCTATCTCTACGATGTCTGTTGACCGTGACCTCCTCAACCAATTCAACTCGCATTTGCCCAACCTGGCAATCGTTTTCGTACAGGACGCGAGCAAACGTTCAAGCCGTCGCCACTTTTGACGTTGGGGGGTTTTCATTTGCTGCTGTTGCACACCTAGTGGAAGAGATTTCGTCAACACAGCTTGCCCTCCGTTGCCTTCCTCCGCGGCGCCCACTCCCTTGTGTCGAGGAGCTTCGAGGAAAGTCCGGTGGGTGGAACGCCGCGTCGGTCTCGGTAAACGTGTTCACGCTCACTCTACAGGCATCGCTTTCTCCACCTTGAGCCTACGCAAACATGGAGGTGCAGGACGGGCGGATTCAATCAAGCACATTTGGACATCGTCTCTTGTACGTGCTTCGCGTTGGAGAACGTGGTAGCCATTTGCGCGAACCCAGGAGGTCGCGCACAGTCAAATCTGCGCGGAATGGAAACTTAGAACAGAGAGAATGACGAGGTTCTTCCGGGACACAAACGCGGCCAAACGGTGAAAAAATCCTACTTAGGACATCAATCCCAACGACAAATGGGTCTCATACCCCGGAACCTCCTGGTGGTCCCTTCACCATGAGCTTGTGATGAACAACTGCAAGCACCGGCTTGCGACATACACATAGCGAGGAACAACCAACGCTCAACGACGGATCCTTGAAGGAACACTGCAGTGAGAGAAGGTGGGGATAGACAAAGGCAGATTCGCCTTTACCTCCGTCTGAGCTGCGTGGTTCACTTCTGTCACAAGAGTTGCTGTATCGGCCTGCTCCACTCCCTCCGGCTTGCTGTCGTCTGCTACTTCCGCACGAGCCGGTGATTCGGCCTGTCCCGCTCCCTCCCGCTTGCTACCGTCGACAGCGGCTTCTCCAGGTACTGTACTCGGTGACATCTGCTGTACCTCGATGGTAGGATCGAGGACGGGGTTCGGTTTGAGCGCGCGCGTCAAAGCTGATGGCAGCAGCACCGAGCCGCCGCCTTGTCCCAAGGACGGCCAAGATGAGCTCCGGCGTGCTACAGCGCTGTCCGTTTTCCATCCCCATGCCGCCGGATAGCCGTTGACCTTGCGCCCATATCCCACGGGTGGGCCATCCGGGACAGTACTCCGTATGGCTTGAGCTGGTAGCGCAACGCCGTCCTCAAGATAGGTCTCGACGTTGCCAATGTTGTCACAGCCTTCGCTAGTGCATCGTGAGCTCCTGCTTACCCCTGGCTGTTCACTGCAGGAGAGCATTCCTTCGGCCCTTCCGGCGCTCTCTCCTAAACCAGGGTTCTCGTGAACACCCACAGACGCCCCAGCGGCGGATGAAACTTCGTCCTCCTGTCGTTGAGACGCGCCCACATTGCTTTGATACCGGCGACCCCATGCTTGTTCCCCCTCGACACCCCCGCCAGCAACACTGCCATGAGATCTTCCATCCGACTCTGACCCCTCGCACGAGTAAACCTCTTCGCCGCAGTGTGCTTTGCATCTCGGTGAGTCCTCGCTGATCGTGCAGTGGCTGCTTTTCGGTTCCTCCCGCAGGCTTGTCGACCCAGCGTGACCCACCGGTAGCGAGCGAACGTCTGCGCCTGGTCCGCTTTCGCCGAACCCTACCGCACGCCGGGGACCGGTGACATTGACCCGTTCGAGCGTTTCCCCATCGCGAAAAATGCACGCAATCTTTGCGCGCGGTGCATCACTCGGAGCCAGTGTAGAAGCTACGCCCGCACACGCCTCGCCGATCAGGCACCCAGCTTCGGTTTGGGTTTGAGCGTGTGCTTCTGGTCGTACGCTGTCGCGTGCCTCTGTCTGCATGACCGCATATCGGTAGGGTTTCGTCTGCGGAGCTTGAGCTAGCGCCCTGCTGCCCTTGACCGCTCCCGGTGGATAGTCTACCGTGCTTGGGCATGCTTTTGGAATCGATGAAGCAGGATGGTCTTTGCTGGTCGAACGAGACATTTCACGGTGGCGGAGCGGGAGGCGAGGTAACAACGGTGTTGCCACGTACGTCTAGTGCCATACCAAGCCTGTTCTTGATACACCGAGAAGTGTATGAGTGGGATTAAGAGTTGAGTCGCCAAATCGAAAGCCAAGGAAACCTATTTCCGACCCTACTCCACACGATGTCTGTCGAACGCGAAATCTTAATCTTCGAACCGAGATTCACACAGGACGCGAGGAAGCGTCAACGCCGTCGTCACGTTCAACTTCGGAATCTCCTTTGTGTTGCTGATGCGTACCTCCTTGAAGATGAGTGCTCAGCATAGCGTGCCCCCCGTTCCCTTCCTCCGCGGCGCCCACTCCCTTGTGTCGAGGAGCTTCGAGGAAAGTGCGGTGGGTGGAACGCCGCGTCAGTCTCGGGAAACGTGTTCACGCTCGCTCTGTAAGCATTGCTTTCTCCACCTTGAGCCTGCGCAAATACAGCGGATGCGGGACGGGCGGAGTTTGAAGAGCACATATGCACAACGTAGTCTTTGCATTTGCTTCACGTTGGAGAGGATAACAACCGACTCCCACTAAGTCCATTCTCAGCACCTAAAAACGAGATCTCACATCGATTGAAAGCATCACATCCTAAACAATATTGCGTACCCTCGTGGGCCAGACACGAATGACAACCGATCCTGAAACGCCATTCCACACCACCAAAGAAGTCCTTGCAGCACCTACTCCTGCTGATTGTGTGCTCGTATCCCGACCACAGTGAACTGTGTCTGACTCATCGCCTGTTCCTTCAGAACACATCGACCAGGAGCCTGTCTGTGACACGCCCGTACACGAACCATGTATGGGAGCCCTCACGGAGAACCGCTTACGTGAATATCCATTGTTCTAGCGTATGCCGACTGTCCTGCTGGGTGGATGTTTGCTGGCGGCGTAATCGATTCCACCTTTCTCCGGAGGGCCACAACCTGCCGTTGGTGAAAAGCATGGGTGAGCAATTCTTCAACACGAGAGGTCCAATGGTTTGTGCCGCGCGTCACCGCTGCTTTCGTTTTACCAACTCCAACTTTCCCAAAAAATGATTTCGGCGATTCTGCCGCCTCCTACGTTGCGCGGCCACTGCTGTCCTTCCTTCTCTTCGCACGCTCTCTAGCTTCCGCTCGTTACTCGACGTGCTACACCACTTCATGCTCTCTTCGTAATGGAATGACAGGGAACGGGGTTCACATTTCTTCCCCTCGTGACCCCAGGCTTCCGAAAACTTAATGAAACTACAATCCGAAACTGTTCCATCAATGAACTGCATTATATCCTGTCTGTTCGACGAATAAACTTTCCTGTGTTTTCACACTGGAATGCTGGACGTTGTTGGATGCACAGCTTATCCGAGGAGCGAGGAAATGATCTTCTGACACACACTTGCATGCGATGGGAACGCTCGTCATTCATGATGGGAACTGCCATATTCTCGATGCTCCTGTTGTCATGGACTAGAAACTGCACGAACAGCGTAAGTGTCCAAATGTGGTAACCTCGGCATAGGAAGTACCTGTCTTGCCAGCTCGCTGTTGCTGTCTTGGAGCCCCTTGTTGTACATGCGAGCGCTGTCTAGTTTCTGCGGATGTTCAAAAAGAGAGACGCGTATCCCAGCACGTTTTAAGGTTCATCACTGCCGTCCACCTCTGAGAAACCATGAGAGCGTGGTAAGGCATGTACTAGGATGCATCCGTTTGTGCCCAAGATTGAGACAGACCGAACATGACCAATCCGCAATAAGCATCTCACGGATCGAGATAGAAGGGAGGAGCGCGAAGGTTTGGTGGTGAAAGGCTTGTAAAACTCGTGTAGTCTTCGGTATTGTTGATAGAAATTTTGAGATGAACGCACGTGTTGTCAACAAATCGCCACAACCCCTTCAATCAACGAAGCAGTTGCTCACATGCCTCAAAGCATGCGTCTCTGCGACGTGGGCAACGTTCTGACGCCTCGAACCCGTAGAGCTCTCAACATTTTCCGGCCGGGTCGCGTTCGTCGTCGGCTGGCGTGTGTGACGCTCAGCTCTCTTCCTCTGTGTTTTCCGTAGACCCGAACCTTCTCGCGACACATCGCCCTCCCTGGACAAGTATGACATGGCCCATGCCGTGTCCAGTCCGCAAGACCCATCGAATCTCTCGGCCGATTTCCTGACGCCCTGGAGCTCATCTGAAGGGTCATGCCAACCCCTGCCATCAAAAACAGGAGCATCGATGGCAGGCGCTACGTCTCTGAAGGCTCGTCTTGTGTGGCCGCGCTTGCGGCATACTCCAGGGTCAGCACTAGGGCTACGATTCGATCGGGTGCGACTGGAGTAGCGAGTCCAGCCCTTCCCGGGTTCTGCCCAGCCATTGCCTGGAGAAAGGGGCCTCTTATCCGCCAAGCAATAGGAACTGTTGTTGGGCGCATCTGTAGCAGGGTAGTAGGTCTTCGATTCGCAGTCCCGACATGGGCGATGCCGCTCGTGGGGTACGGACACGCTGTCGCGGCAAGGACGGCGTCCGCCTACGGCTCCAGGGGTGAGTTGCGGCGGTGGCGGCGGGAGGGCTCCCCGGGGTTTGAGGTGTCCTCCCCCGTGCAGAGGACAGTCCATGACTCCTTGCAAGGTGAAAATCGCCTCGATGTCGGAAGATCGCCAAGACGCCCGTCGAAATCTCGCTCTGTTGCATGTAGCCTGCCGGTCCTTTTCATTGTAGGATTTGGTCGGTAACTGTGGCATTTGCCGACGTCCATCACCTGGGAAAGCGTTAATGCCGATTGTCATCGAGAGTGATGGCGCCCTCGTTGAGCCGCTTGCATGGGCTTATGTCTGGGTACAGGAAGGTGCGTGCATAGCACGTGGTTGGTGGTTCTACGGGCGCGGCGGCGAGTACGACGGCGAAGAAGGCAAGGCGGCGGGTAAAACGGAAAATTGGTTCTTGTTGGTTCTTCGCTATTCCGCCGCGTTCTTACGGACGGCAGAGTAGCGTAGATGCGTAGATGTGAGCCCCGCGTGCCGACGTGATGGTGCGTGACCAATCGCCACCAGTACAACGTTATAGAGCCTCTGAACTCTGACCTGGTGTTGTACCGGTTGAATCTTAGCACACATATCAGCATCCTTGGTGCCTTCAGTCTTCAGTCGTCCCGACAGGAAACATGCGGCGCAATTAGAAGAAGATCGTGCCGGCTTGGTTGGAGGTTGGAGGGCACATTCAACATCGCAGCAACGCCTACCCCTCGCAGCATGGACTTCTCTTCCGGGGTGTTTTCCCTAGCGCTAGCTGACCTAGCTCAGGTCAGCTCTGTTCCTCACAAGCAAGCGCAAAGGCGGTAGTTTATTCATTTCTCCCAAGCCTGTGGATCTGATCGAGAGTGCCAAAACAACGCGCATACCAAGGAGAGCCGTGGTAACACGTACGCCGGTGACTCTGCACGCAATGCACAAAAGATTCGCAGTTCGTTGTGTGTGCCTGCAAGGGAGAAAACCTCTATTTTCTGCAAAGCTGAAGCTGTAAACGCACTCCACAGGGGCAATACCCTCGTATTTGTAGTGACGACGACCGCACACCACCCAGCGGCAGCATAAGCTGTGCCTTTGACTGGCCGCTATTGGCTCTCCGTAGTCCTAGACCACAGTATTGTACCCCGGACAACAAGTACGAAGAAGTATGTACAACGATTTCCTCACAGAAAAGAGCCTACACGCCAAATTGCGAAAGCGAATCAGGTTCAAGATATCGTTGTGAACATGCCGAATATCTATTCTGGTCGTTCTCACTAAAACGAACAAAGCCGCAGGTTGTTGTTGTCATCTCGTTTTGATGTCCATCCAGTACCTCGTCCTCCTCCCTGGTCGTCGAAGGCAACAAATATATTTCTGTGATCACAAATTAGTCAACCAGAAGTACAGTACACAGCAGTATCAGTTCATGCAAATAAGGCCTCGCGTCGCATCGCTCAGGCCATTTGCCGCATACAGCCCATTGCAGTTGAAGAACTTTGCAACAACGCCTTTTTTGTCTGTGGTATAATTGAAGTGGTGATTCTGAGCATAACGACCTCATTGGCTCTGTAGAAGGGGCACAGCAGCTTCTCGTCCAACATCAGACAACCCATAAATCACCTTGGCAACCCTGTTGATTCTATCGATTCATCTTCCATCCTACTTGCGCCGCTGGAACTACCGCTGACACGACAGGTGTCAACAGTTTCCCACAAGGGCACGCTAGGATTACTCCCTCCCGGCAAAAAGGGTCGACAGAAGTTTGTGGTGAGCGCTGATACGATAGCCACAGAGTGGTGTCGTCACCGCGCATGCAAGGGGACTCGAAGCGTTGGTATTTTGTCCAGGAGTGGCCACAAAAATACGATCTATTTATCCAGCTTTGAGAGGGGAGGGGGTAAAGAAGAGGGACAGCTGGTGCTAGCCTAGGTTCCCTTCAGCTGCACGGGATCAATATCAATCGCAACAGCATGTTGGTGCAGTGAAGGTGTTGGATTGCAGCTTGAAAAGCAAAGAGAGTCAAGCCCTAGGCTGCACCAAATACCACGCAATTCTGAGATCGAACAACACGGCTCGCGCTGCATCAGGTCGGCGATGACTCAGGCACGGTGCACTGCTTCGAGATGAAACGAGGGGAAGCACAGACGGTCTTCTCGTACCACTTCGCCGACAGTTACGAAAGCAGCGGCAGCGGCAGTGCTGGCACGGGGAGCATGATAACGGCCGTTGTCACGGGGGGCACAACGGGAGGTTCTGGAGGGGGAGACAGAATCTTCGCGACGCAGGTTTGGTGCCGCTTCGTGAACGCGGTAGTTGAACGCCGCCGTCGATGGTTGCAAATTCCTTGGTTTCTAAACAAGCAGTAGCGATTGTTGACTGACAAAAAGCCACCAGACAAAGCCATTTAAATACTGTGTACGCGAGTACTACCCCAGCACAAATATCCACTCCCTGCTACAAGCGCACTTATCGACACGTTGCTTACGCTCTCGATTCA